CGTTTTTTTTCTATTTTTTTTTTCTTTACTTTGGCAAAGATCACTACAAGTAGTTTTATTACAATAACTCTTGCTTCAAAGAAAATAAAAACTAAACAAATCCGTGATCTTAAAAACCTCATAATATAATCAAATACGATTAGAAACAAAAGAGAGTACCGAAAATTACCTCAACCGGGCTTATTACACCCCCACACCGAGTACCCACCATCCAATGGCATGAGATCAATAATCAACCTTCAATCTCAACCTGGAAAGTAAGTTTAGGCCAATTCACACTAATAGAACATGAACCCCTTTAATCACAAACTCAAACCCTAAATGAATTTTCTTGGCAACCTAGTTTGAGAGAAATGAATTCTCTTTTGCTATACCCTAAAAAACGTTAGCCATAAATATATAGTTGAGAGATGGAAGAGAAAAGAACAAATATGAAAGAGTGGGGCGTGCCCCATTTGGGCTTTCATAAGAGAGAAACTTTCTTAAGAGAGAGATAGAAAGATAAGATGTAAAGATTTTTGTGTAGAGACAGTCCATTTTTATAGGCTTTAAATAATATTAAGGTTTCTTAGGGTTTTTCTTGGCTTGCCTCTTTTTGTGAGATTAAATTGGTTTTGGATGACTTGTGAGGTGAGAGATTTAAGCCATCCATTCTATAGATGGGTCATCAACATTATAAAAAGTGGTGGAACTTTTATCCCCTTTTTCTAAACTATTTTCCCATCAATAGAAATAAAATAAAATAATTTCAAATATAATATTGTGTTTTATCCAAAATACGCACAACCCTTATCAAGCCTTAGAAAATATTCATTCAAATCTTTTTTAACCACTTATCCCACAAAAGATATGAAACTAGGCCTACCACGCCATGAGAATAGGAAGCCCCAAAAATTGGGCATGCCACCCATGTGTGACTTTGTTGCCCCCACCAATTTGGGGCATGTAGGGGCACAATTGGTCCCAAATGCAAATTTTAAATATTTAAAAATCAATAAATGATTTTAGAATTAATTTAAATATTTAAAACATTAAAAATCAATATTTTTGTTTTTATAAATCTAAATTTTATAAATAAAATATCTAAAGATCTAGAAAAATTCAAATAATAATTCTAAAATCATATCATTATAAAATAAATACAACTAAATTCATTAGATGGCATAAAGATCCATATGGTATAGGAATAAATAATGTGGGGCATTTCACCTTCAACTGTAGACTACGGTCCATACTTGCTTTATCAACCGACCCAGTATTTCCCATGACCCACAGTCCATGTAGAGATTCATTAGTGAGTCACCAAAATCTAGTTGATGAGTCAAGGAGTCGTAATCCCAGTTTGTGGATTCCAGGTTTGATGCGACCACAACTCTTATGGCGCATAGAGGTATCTCTCGCACATGCATACGCTTCACCCAAAGTGGCTTGCTTTCCGAAACAGTCTATCAATATGCATGTCATGTGATGGTACATGGACGAAGCTTTGGTCCCGTCTCTAAAGGCCACCACCATACACAAGGGTCACACAGCCCCTCGGTTCACTTATCCGGGGCATACTCCGACCTCATCAAGGGATGACCCATTAGAACCCTTATCAATTTAGACTCCATGCCCAGGTAGCATGGGTTTTTTCCAACCGACTGGTCAAGACCGTAAAGAACAGTCCGGTATCAGCAAACATCGTTTGCTTAGTATGGTCCACGATGGACCACACTCCCATTGAGTTCATGTTTCACTATATTATTTCATTTTACAAGCACTCATAAAGCATTTAATGACCACACTCACCCAACATTTCCATGGGTACTCCTTCAAGAGAAAATGCTAGTATTGGATAACATGCAAAACAAGGGGCAAGTTATGATGAATATTTGTTTGCTTTGCAAAGAGGATAAAGAAAATTGTGATCACCAATTTATGCATTGTCTTTTTACTCGTGCCTTTTGGGAATGGGCATTTGATAAAATGGGCATTCACATGGTGATTTCCAGGAGTCACGGAGAATTGTTATTGCAAATAAATGTTCCCAGCCTACCTAAATGTGGAAGAGTACTTTGAATGATTTTTTGAGCAGCTCTTCTATGTGATATATGGAGGGAGAGAAATGGTAGAACTTTTGATGGAAATAGTCATAGCATGGAAGCAATGAAAAAGAGCATTTTGTACGGAGTCTGGATATGGTTTCAATAACAAGTAATGGAAGAGGTATATCTAAGGTACATATATGGGTAAATCTGATAAATGTGATCACAAATAAATCATGGAAGCTCAAACTTATAGGTAAGTGGCATCCGCTAGGAGTGGGCTCTTTTAAACTAAATTTTGATAGCAACTCTTTTGGTAATTCGAGTCCAGCTGGTTTTGGGGGAGTCTTGAGCGATTCAAGTGAGTTCATTATCCAATCTTATGCAGGCCCTTGTGGGCTTTCAACCTCAAATGAAACAGAGTTTCGTGGTATTTTGCAGGGCCTAACATGTATTAAAAGGAAATTTGAGGAGATTATAGTTAGGGTGTAAAGCGATTCCCAAAATGTGATAAATTGTTGCAATAAAATTTCAAAGCCTCCATGGCGGTTTTATTCGATTTGGAACGAGATAGTGGATTTGAGTCAGGACACTCTCTCTCTTTTAATCATGTCCACCGGGAGACAAATGAAATTGGAGATGGTTTAGTTAAGTTTGAGGTGTCATTGGCCGAGACAATTGCCGTTGATGAACTACTACATGATTAATATTCTTGTAATATCTTTTTGAGCAATAAAACTTCATAATATTGTGAAAAAAAATAGTTACTAATTTTTTAACCCTTTTTAGCATGAATCTAGTAGCATCTGACTATCAAAAGTACTATATAATGAGATCTGAGCCTCCCATCCACATATCCACCCCCCTTATAACCTTAAGGTCTTAGATCTTTACATTAAACCCTACCTTCCCACAATAGCAGGAGCTTACTTCGGGTAGCAAATCTGCCTGATTACACATATTCCACCCTCGTTTTCTTTCATATTTCTTTACTTTCCATCTTCAAGTTAACCTCTTTCTTTGTCCAATTGGAGATTGTTTTTTTGTTGAGTTATGAGCACTCCAACTAATGCCTACTTGTTTCCACAAATGAATTATGAAGAGGCGCATTTATTCCATCCTCATTGCACCAATATCATTCTACACCACGACTTCGGCTTCCCAAATTTGTTTATGCCACAACAATAATAATAACAACAATATGGACATTATTTTGTTATCATTGTTGTTGTTATTGTTGTTGTTAGGAAAATGGTTTGATAGGGCTACAGTCCTATAAAAGTATTTTTAGTCTCACCTCAAAACTCATGGAAAATTGTATTTCTGATATTGAAAAACCTTCAGCTTTGACCATTATGTTTGTGAAAAAAATACTAATAAACACTTCGAGCCCTAAAAATAGTGGAACACATTATCTAGACCATCAATAAGTGTTCACGGATCCTCAAAATTTGTACCATTTTCTTGCTATTCAATTTTCTTAATCGGTGTTGAACAATGATTCTAAAGCCATCATGGGGACTTCTAACGCCCAAAATGCAGACAGAAGAAATGCTAGGGATATTATTTGGACCTCAAATTTTGGGATGTAATCTCCACAACCTATAAATTAATCTCATGCAAAAAAACTCTCCAAAATAAACTACTAGAGAAACTAATGTCTCAAGATAGAATAGAGGCCATCCAATTTTTGAAGGGCTAGATCTAAGTAGCACAAATTTAAAGTTCAATTTTTTTAAAAAAAATAATAATCATCTTGAAATTCTTACTTGGTTCCCAAAATTTTAGAACAAAAAATCTTCCTAAATAGAGATTTTGAGTAAGAGAGTATATTTACACTATGCTCCCGCAGGAGCATAATATACTTGCAAATCTATTAGTATTGTGAATAGCATCATGGGTGTGATGTGATGAATGCGTGTTCTTTTGTGCACTCTTCAACAACCCAAATCCATTTCAACAATGATAGACTCCACAAATTGTGGCTTCTAGAACTCCCCACTTATCTTTTGCCTCTCCCCCGCCCCACTACTATAATGCACCGACCGCCCATTCATTATTTGTGTCCACATTAAGTAACAATGGACAAATATCCATGAACATACAAAAGTAAGTTGGATGAATAATATTATTAAACACCAATTATTCATGGCCGTATTCTTTATACCCTTACTCCCTCCCTCGGGCACAAGAGCTATTTAGGAGAGTTTTTGGAGTATAAATTGTGAGATTCACCTAACCAAATGATTATATCTAGAAAATTTTGGATTTTGACATCTTGAACACTTAGATTGATAGTTCAAAACTTTTGTTTAATCTTAGGATGTTAAATTTTCTAGGCAAGTTCAGAATGTTTTTTATTTTTATTTATTTTTTTTAAGTTTGAAGAAGTTAGATTCCCAAGATTTGGGGGTTTGAAATTTTTCATATATTGAGCTTCGCGCCAAGGGAGTGAATGGAAAAAATACCCCTATGAGGGCATAAATCTTTCACTATTATCTTAGTAATCTTGATTGTATGAATAACAAATTGGCTTGTTTTGTTCTATCTATCGGACAAGACTAGAACTAGGATGGATGACTTCCTGGGAAGTTTTTGTGTCGCACCCTTTTTACTTACCTAAAAAAAAAAAAACATTGGAAAAATGGATCATCATCATTCTCCATTCCACGCATGCTAGTAGAAGGAATGAGGATGTCTTGATCAACCACATGACGATAAGTGGAGTTGAAAAAGTCGTGGGGATGGAAATTTTATTCTTATCTTTGCAATACATTAGCAAAGGGAAAAAAGAACATGGCATATTTCTAGTTGGTGATTAGGTTAAATAAGAAGAGGGAAAGAAAGAAGCCAAAGGTAAAGAGATACGGTTGGAAATGGAGGAAAGATCATGGTTTGTTAGAATGAGAATGGCAATAATGGTGGCAATGGTAGTAAGTATGAGGGGGGCCTCAGGGGAGGAGGGTCTGGTGTTGAATTATTACAAGGAGAGTTGCCCACGGGCAGAGGAAATAGTGAAGGAGAAGGTGCAAGAGTTGTACAATAAGCATGGGAATACAGCCGTATCTTGGCTCAGGAACCTCTTCCACGATTGCATGGTCAAGGTAAGTGCGCAGGACCACACTATACTCCTAGGACTCCTAGTCTTGGGGTATTACTATCAGTTTACTCTCTTGAGTAAAAACCTAATGAGTGTGGTTTCTATAAGGTTGCAACCTTAGACAATCCAATTCAAGCGCACCTTAAAATCTATCATAACATGTAATTTTGTTGTAAAAAATTCTTAGTATTATCTTAAAATCTATTTTCGTACCTAATTAGAAAATTTTAAAATCCAAAAATGGTTAAAATCAAGTAGATCTATAAATATATGAAAATCTTGAAAATGGACGGTCTAGATAATGTGCTGCAAGATGCACTATTTCGAGGACTCAAAAACTTTTTTTTGTCATATTCATACATCTCGATATCGATATGATCGATTAGAGGGTTTTTTCAACATTAAAACAACATTTCTGATAGATTTTTGAGGTGCATCTGTGATTCTACATTTTAAGGTTGAAACCTTATATAAACTTTTCCCAAACCTAATATAGGAGTAATTTTAGTATCTCAAATTTTGGGGATGCAACGTCTTCAGTCCGCCCATAGACGAATCGTTAGTAAAAATAATTTCCATATTGAACTCTTCATTTACTAAAACAAATAATGTCTCAAGATTGAATAGACCGTCAATTTTTGAAGGAAGTGATCAAAGTGTCAAAAAAAACTCAAAATTCAAGTATTTTCTTTTGAAAATAGTTATCTAGCGATTATTAGCTGGTTCGCAAAAGTTCAGAGTAAAACAATCCTCCCAAGCATATATTTCAACTGAGAGAGTAAATGCACAATAAACTCCCACTGGAGCATAGTAAATGTACTCTTATTTTATTTTAATTCTTTTAGAAGAGGGATGTAGGTAAATGATGGGTAGGATCAAATTGGCTGGTGTTTAGATGAGCCAACATAATTTTGGCAGTGGGGCAAGAATTAAATGGAGTTTTGGTGATGGTGCAAATGAGCATGGCTAATTCCTTGTTCCTTTCACACGATCTATATGGATCAAACTACAAGTTGAAAATTAGGTTTATTACGGTTTGCTGCTCATTACTTATTTTGTTTTCTAAAATTTGTTTATTCTTCACATATCTATTTATATTGGAAAAGGAAAACAAATCAAATTCATTTTTCTTTTTTTTGGGTGATTGAGTGGGAAAGACGGACCCTACCAGGTTTTCAAATCGTTTAGGAGTTAGTTTTTTGAAAGAGTTAGTAGGGTGGTGTCATTGGGATATAGTTTAGGAGTTAGGTTTTTGAAGGAGTTAGTGGGGTGGTGTTAGTGGGAATGAAAATCACACCATGATGGTTAGGGTGTGGGGGTGCTGCCACCACAACCCAACCCTTTCCCAAAATAATAACTATAAACCAAATTGCCATAAAAGTGCTTAATTACTGCCCCAATACAAACCGTTTGATGGTCAATTTTTGGTCATGAAAATATCAAGAATCAAATTATTTATTGATTGTATTGTATTTTTTTCCCAAAGCCTCAACTGAGATCCATTTCTTCTCGTATCAAATGGAAGTCTATCTTCATTGAATTTGCCTTTGTAAAACAACTACTATTTTCAAGGTTCCGTTTTGAAATTTTATTTGCAAGTGCAAAACTTGAGCCTCAAAAAGTAGTGAACACATAGGTAGTGCAAACGCTGCAGTGGTCCTTAAAAGCAAATCTTTTCCAGAGAGAGAAAGAGAGAGAGGGAGAGAGCTCTGTTATGAATCTTAGGCAAGTGCTAAATCCGAACTAACAAGGAAGTAATATGTGTGTGAATGAATATGCAGTCATGTGACGCTTCGCTTCTACTGGACAGCGTGGGAAGCGTATCATCAGAGAAAGGGTCAGCTAGGAGCTTCGGTATGAGGAATTTTAAATATGTTAACACCATCAAAGACGCCTTAGAGAAGGAGTGCCCCAAAACCGTTTCATGTGCTGACATCGTTGCTCTTTCAGCCCGAGAAGGTGCGCTCATGGTTAGTGCCCACTGTTGACCACCTTTCCATTTAAGATTCCAAAGATGAATATCTTTACATTCACTCCCTTGAGAAAAACTCATTTTAAATAGTCAGTGAGAATAAAAGCCACAATGTCAATTGAGTTACAGGGAGTGCTACCACCACAGCGTCATACCTTTTACCATAGAGAGATAATAACATGAGAAGTTTTTGTTTTTGCAGCTTGGAGGACCTAATGTTCCTATGAAGACTGGGCGACGAGATAGCAGAGAAAGTGAAGTGGATGTAGTAGAACAGCACATTCCCAATCACAATGATAGCATACCCTTTGTGCTCTCACGCTTCCAATCCATTGGCATCAACACTGAAGGAACTGTGGCACTCTTAGGTCACCCTATCTTCCTTTTATTTATCCAAGTCAATATTTTAGGGTCACAATAGGGGCATCTCCTCTCTTTTCTCCCACCAAACCTACTTTGAGAGTATATGTAGGACCCTAAATAGAGGGATGTGACCTCTTTAAAGTTCAAACTTCAACTTTGAAACATTTTGAAATAGAAAATGTGATTATTGTATCATAAATTTTGCAGGAGCACACTCTGTAGGGAGAGTTCACTGCAAAAATTTGGTGGGGAGGCTATACCCTGAGATCGATCCAAGCCTCGATCCCAATTATGCCATATACCTCAAAGGCAGGTGCCCCTCACCTAACCCTGACCCGCGTTCAGTGGCTTATGCAAGGAATGACAGAGTTACACCGATGATATTGGATAATGAATACTACAAGAATGTTCTGGCTCACAAGGGCTTGTTGCTTGTGGACCAGCAGTTAATCTCCCACCCTGAGACCGCACCTTTCGTAGAGAAGATGGCATCAGATAATGAGTACTTCCATGGCCGATTCTCTACTGCCCTGCTTGTGTTGTCTGAGAATAACCCCCTTACTGGAGATCAAGGAGAGGTTAGAGTCGATTGTCGCTTAGTTAACAAGGATGGCTAATCACTCCCTTCACAATACCTATTTTCATATTATTCGGTATGTTCTCTTTTGTTTCTGTTAAGAAAGCATGGTTACTGGAGTACTGGGGCTTCATGGGACTTCATCCATGTTAGTGTTGATCTTGGATTTGGTTCTCTAACTTTGAATTACTAGAATACATGTATGAATCCATCTCTAATAGGCTAGTTAGGTACCAATCCCTTTAGGGAGTATGCTTATTTATGGACTTTCTACATGTTACAAATTAGTGCTTCTCTAATGGCAGTAGTAAGTTATCCATCTCTGTAGCAGAATTGGTTAATGTTAAATGTTTTGAACGCTTAACATCTAATTTTTATGAAATTGGAGATTGGGTATGATCGCTTAAGGAGCCAATGATTCCTGCTTTACATCTCAAGTTTGAAATATATATATGCACCTCAAAAATCCATAAAAAAAGGATTGTTTCGATGTTGGAAAATTCTTTAATATATCATCATTCACCTCAAAATAAATGGATATGGAAAAAAACAAAAACGATTTCAAGCCATAGGAATAGTGCATCTAGTAATACATTATTTGGACGGTCCAGTTTTAAGAGTTTCAAGTATTTATATATCTGCTTGAACTGCTCCATTTTTTTATCTTTAAATTTCACAATTTAGGGTGGAAATATAATTTCAAGCCTCTGAATATCGAACCTACATCTTCCTGTAGGGTTCAATGGGCCTTATTTACATTGTTTAAAGTCAAAAGTGAAAATTATACTATTAACGTAAGGCACACCCCACCGGAAAACTTGTTTTGAACTAATGGGCTAATCCCAACTTTTTTCATATATATATATATATATATATATATATATATATAATATTGAGATTAGCCCACTAGCTCATATGAGCCCAATGGCCAAGAATGAATCTGGGCCGATCTGACGGTCACAACCTCATTTCTTATTTAATTTAATTTTTTCTACAAATCCAAATTACTTGAAATTTTAGGCGTTCATTCTTCCCATCAAGGCGCACCTAATAAAAATATTTAAAAACTAATTGGAAAAAACTAGACTAACCAAAATACCTTCGAAACTTTTCAAGGGTATTTTGATCAATTTATTTCTTGCAAAATATTTTTTGATATTTTTATTAAATTCTTCTATTTTGGCAAAATACATACTTAAAATTTCAAGTAATTTTGATTTGTAGAAAAAAAATTAAAATTAAAACACAAAATGAGGTCGTGACCATCAGATCGACCCATAT